AAGGGGGGGGGGGGGCAGCAAGCTCCAGGGGCGGGAATGTGGGAGTCATCTGGGGGCCTGGGTCTTACAGCTTGTGGTGAAACAGAACTTTGGGGGGGGGGGCTTTTACAGGCAGTATGATGCAGTGCTCTGATGCCCCCCTTCCCCCCCCATCTCAGGGCCCATGTCGGCGGGAGATGGATAGTGTCCTAAACAGCCTGAAGATCACTAATGTCCTCAACCCCAAGGGTTTCCGCATTCCCAACTGCGACAAGAAGGGCTTCTACAAGAAAAAGCAGGTGAGTGTGATTCCCCGCCCCCCATGTCAGTTTGTTTCTACTCCCAAGGCTACGCTGGGATATTCATTTTGGGTTATGGTCCTACATGCTGAGAGAGGCCTGTTTGTATATTATAACCTCCCCACAACCTGCATGGTGCCATACTTTGGCCCATGCAGCACGCAAACAAGACCACATTTCCCAGTTCTGATGAAATAGGATCCTCTGGGAGAAGATGGCAGAGGCGTGACATGATGTCCTGGATTGGATCGGCATGCTTTCTATAAGATCAGCCAATGGGACGTAAGGTTCTTGGCCAGTGCAGACATCTCTGGAGTCCAATCATGAAGGAATCGAGTGAGTCAGGAAACACTGCGTGGCCTTCTGTAGACCGGCATGTGGAAAAGTGACACACACACCCAGACGTTTGTGTCCCACAAGGGGAGGTGGCTTTTTCTGGCATGAAACGGAAAGCACCTGCAAGACGGGAGCTGTCTGAGGTGCTGAACACGCCCCCCATCCCCCGACTCAGTCGTGCTTCATGGGACGGCCCAGTCTCGCTATTCTCAGAAGAGATGAGTCACGCGGGCCTTCGGCGGAGTTCTGGGAAAAGGGCGAGTCGCACAAAAGGCGCTGCATCGCTGGTTCTGAGAAAAGAGGGGAGGATATGCCGTCTGGATTGTTCTTTTGTGTATTGCTTTTATTGGTGAACTTTGGATGGGGTTGGTGGTGTTTTTGCAACTCTACGAATCCTGGGAAATGTTGAAATCCCCCCCACCCCAGTCAAAGATTTCCTTGGTGGTGCTTGCTATACACAGCGGGTCACATGACTGCTGAGGTGTCATGTGACACATGGAATGTGAATGCCCTTTTCACCTGAAAGATACTCTAGGGCAGAAGGACCCCTATCAGCTGAGGATTTCTCTCCTAACAGAAGATGGATGCAAAGTTGGACAGGATGCTTAGCTTACACACTCAAACTTAGCAAAGCCCAGTGAGTTCGCCCGCTGTTCATTTTTTCTTCCCTGGCAGCATCCTGCTTTGTTTCCAACCAAACCATTTTGCTTCCCCTTGCCCCAAATAGCTTGTGACGCTTTATAGTTATTTATTTAGTAGATGCTTTAATCCAAAGCAATGTTCAATTGAAAGCAGGGTCAGACAGACACTGGAGCAATTGGGGATTAAGGGTCTTGCTCAAGTGCCCAATGGTGACATCACTCTGCCAATTCTGGAATTTGAACTGGTGACCTTTCTGCTGAGCCACACAGTGCCCCATACAAGATGCCGGAGAGGATGAGAGTTCGGAAACTGGGCAGAGGGACCCCCCAGGATTATCACCACCTCTCTGAATCTGAGGGAACAGGAATACTTAAGTTGGAGAAGCAGGCAGGCATGGGGGTGAGGAGGAAGGGCAACTCTTTTGTAATTAGTCAATATTTTGGGGTTTTTCTATGGAGAAAATGAGATTTGGACCTCAGCCTGTGCACATTAAGTGAGCCCATTCCACCCCGGCTTGACTTGGCGGGTACGGCGCCTCTTGGGTACCTACCAGGATGCCCCAGTAAATTTACATCGGATCTAAGCAGAGGGTGTTGAAATGGCTTCTTTTCGAGGAAGTGAAATAGAACATGTGTGTAACTACAAAGACAAACTACACATGTGTGTGTGAGCCCGTACGCATGGAAAATAGAGGGAAAAAATGGAAAAGTTTTTGAAATCAAATCGCACCCGTTTCGAAGTTGCTAGTCCAATACCCACATCTGTCAAGGCGTGATTAGGATCATCAACACGGCCCTGTGTGGACAGTGTCTCGCTGATTATGATAATCAATATAGCCCCTGTGAGTGGGGCATCGCTGATTAGGATTATCGGCACGAGCCGTGTGGGTGGGATCTCGCTGATTAGGATAATCGGCGTAGCCTGGGTGGGCAAGGCCTGGCTGATTAGGATAATTGACATGGCCTATGTGGGCGGGGCCTAGCTGATTAGGATAACTGACATGGCCTATGTGGGCGGGGCCTAGCTGATTAGGATAATTGACATGATCCATGTGGGCGGGGCCTAGCTGACACATTTTACTGGGTGCACACTGCTACCCATCATGCTCCTTTAGTATTTGTATCATGCTAGCTGGAGTGAAAAGGGCTGAAATTCTGGCTCTGCAGAAATAATGCTTAACCCCCCCCCCCTTTTAAACATGTGCATGGGGGCTTCCAAGGGAGGGCAGAGGGAGGGGAAATGGCGGGTTGCCCTCTCCTCAGGCTGCTAATCATAGCTGTTGTCTCAGGGGTGGGTGCTGGTGGTGGGGGAGGAGGGGGTGAGTTGATGGAGTGACCACCGGGTGCAGGGCCCCCCATGGATGGCTGACAAGGTGGCCGCCCCCCCACCCACCACCCTGAACCCCACATCCCCCCCAAGGAGCGCTCCCCATAATTGTCTGACTCACTCGGGAAACCCTACAAAAATAAATCCAAAGGCCCCTTCAGATCACGTTGCCCACAATTGCCCCGTAATAGATGGCTAACCCACGGCCTCAGCCTGTGATTTTATGTTTTTATGCAGTTATTTTCCTGTGCCGTCAAATTACTGGAGTAACATTTATATTATGTTGCGGGCAATGTTTAATGTACGATCTTCTGTTGACCCGCAATCATTTGTAAACCAATGAAACTCTTACTGGCTATTTTTTTCCTCTGGTAGTAGTTATTTCGGAATGCAATATTCCCCCTCAAGGAGAAGTTGGGGCAGAAGATCTGGTGTAGGTCATTTTGTGACCTTGTATTTACTTTGGGGTTTTACAATTTCTTTTTAATTCTTAGGCAGCCAAACGTTCTTCCTATTAGGTTTAAATGCGCTCATTATGTCTGTGCTGTAGAGGGCGCCGTTGAGGTGTTAAAGTTATGATTGTCTCGTTATCGGTTCTGGATCGGGAACGTGCCAGAATGGCCCATTTATATTTAAAAAATAATAATAACACCTATTCCATTGGCCAAGAGGATGTTCAGGAAGGATGCCGCCAGCGGTGGGCTTACTGCGGAAGTGGGAGGGGGGGGGGGGGGTGAAAGGGATGCCAACTGAGGTTTGGCGGGGCTAGTGAGAGAGGGTGGGAGCCTGGGAAGGAGCCAGCTCGTGGCCGGGGCGGGGGGAAGACAAAAAGCCAGTGCACTAACACAAGCTCGAGCCCCATCATGGCTACCCCCTCCCCCTTCGGAACACAATATTTAACGCTGCCCCGCAAAATGATCTGGTCTGGAGGTCCCCAGAAATAGAACTTGACCGCGAAAGCAAGCAACGTCAGAGGAGAAGAAAAGATAATAATAATAAACATGAGGCAGGGTGAGGCTGAGGAGCAGGATGTTTGAAGTTCTCTGTTTGGAGCTCTGAACATGCAGCAAAATGCAGACACCTTGACACAAAGTGATCATAGGGCCAACCCTAAGAAGCCGAACCAATGCATCGCATGTCTTATCAAAGAAATGCGCTACCTGTACGTTACAGAAATTATCCTGGGCTTTTATTTTATGTTCATCCCTATTTTTTGGAAGACTGCGTTAGAGTTTTACATTAAGGAGTTTATGCAAAGACATTAGACATTAGACATTAGTGGACAGAAGCCAGTTAAATTTGGTTTTGTACAGTGGCATAAATGCAATACAAACTGTGTTGATCCAGTATTGATCTTTGCTGTTTATGATGATCTAATGCAGGGTTATTCAAATCACGGTCCTCGAGGTCCAAGCACTGCTGGTTTTCCAGCCTTCCTTGACCTGTCAGTCAGGTGTGAAGCCTCTGGCCAATCAGAATCAGTCATTATTAAACAAACTACCTGGGAGAACTGGAAACAAGGTCTGGATTTGGAATCGAGGTCCAGATTTGAAGAACCCTGATGTAATGGATGGACCCACATGCTCATCAGGACAGTATAGTAGTGTTCCAGCTAAACAAAATGTTCCAGTAGACTCCATGCTACGTAGCTTCCCAGTAACCTACATATACCATCCATTCATTTTCCATATCGCTTGTCCTATGCAGGGTTGCAGAGGTGTGGAATCTGCTCCAGAAGCAACAGGCACAAAGCAGGGAATAAAACTAGGCGAGATACTAAGCTGAGGGCTGCAACAGAAGAAGTCGCTGGATATCTTAAAAGATATCCATATCAGAAATCTCGGACTAATTATGATTTGGAGATTTATTGATTAGAATCATTTTCCATAATGATCTGCAATTCACTTGTGCTTGACATTATTTAAAGTAATTAGACTGTAGGGTGTTCGTTATAAATAGGCCATAGGTTGGGGAGGGCTTCTTGGGCCCATGTCCTGGAAATGTGTGAAGGATCTGTGTAAGCGGTCACCGCGATCTTGTTCTATAAACAAAGCATCCTAGTGTACAGTTCCTCAACCTCGAGTCTGGTCCAGATATGCACTTCTCTCTAAGTCCGAGAGAAAGTTCTGAGAGGCAGGCACCACATCTGCCGTACCAGTTTGTACCAGTTAACGCGATCCCTTGCATCAGTAAACGTCTATCAAATACATGCAGTGGGCACCTGGTGATCCCACCTGGTGTGGTTACAGCATCATTAGTGTATGAGAGTATGACATTGCATGGTGGAAATGATGTATCAAGAGCACGTACTTGAGGGGAACTTTTGAGGGTTTGGAGAAAGCACTTGAATTGCCCAGTGAGACTCTGGTGGTGCCTCTTCTCAAGGCATTCTGATACTTTGTCTTTTGATCCTTCTCACTTCACTGTCATAGGATATTGAGTATGAGTGCGTGAATTCTTCTACACCCTTAGCCCGTTACCTTTTGGTCACACGTCCTGTTACTCACTGTGACACTAAGTACAGCCCAACTAGCGTCATTGAGGCTTTTCAAAGGAACATCTGAGGTTAAGATGCCAGTCCCTGTGAGCCTGTGTGCTGCTGGTTGTGCCCCTAATTCTGTGCTGCACCATATAATCATGGACAGATGATTTTGTCTGGCTGTCAGTTCCCTGGAATAGATCTCTGGTCAAAGCGATGCTCAAACTGGCCCGCATTGCTTTAGTGGCAGGTTTCTGTTATTTTTGACACTTTTTCTCTCGGAATGGAGGTTGCCTCAAAAGTGTCATTCAGGAAAACTAAACAAGGTAAGAGATGGGATACTCCTGGAACACTCAAAGTAGAACACGTCTGGGACATTCCAAGTGAAACATTCCTTAAGCCCAAACAAAGGATACTCCTGGAATACTTGTGGAACTTTTAAGGCAGAACACTGCTAGAATACTCCAAATGGAACACTCCTGGAAGCACTCAAGATGGAATATCTTTGGGAACTCAAGGCAGAACCCTCCTGAAACAATGAGAAATGCTCTTGGTACCCTCCTGGAATGTCCATGGTAGAATGTCACTAGAACATTGCTGGAATGCTTGAGGTATCAGATAGAGTGATTGGCACAGACGAGAAGCTTGTTGGCACGAGAGGGGCTACTGAGAACATCGGTGATCCGTCTGGCTAATCTGAAATGTTTCTGTCACAAGCCATCAACTCAAGAAAACTCCTCACCGCTGATAGAACATATGAGAGCTGGTCACTGCCCTGTGTTGAAGAGGTCACTGGGTAGTGGGTTAGTTGAGAAAGCAGACACTTTACAACCACCAGCAAGAAAAACTTGACATTAAGCTGTAACTGTGTAGAATAATCGGGGTACCTGTAAACCAAATAAGCCAGTTTGGACACAGTCATCTGTAACGCAAATTTTAAAATATACCGGTAAATAATGTATAATTTGGTGAATTTGAAGTTTGATATACTGATTTGAGTGAGAAAGAGATGAGTCCCATCTGGAGATTACATTGATGGTGGCGTAGCATCGCTGCCAATGTACGTTATGTTTAAGTTTGCTCGAGCATGACTTGCGAGTTTTGAAATGCATCCAAGCAGTGAAAGGTGGGAGGTGGTGGTGGGGGGGGGGGGGGGGGGAGAGATCTCTGAGGCATATCCAGAATTTAACCCGATCCGCCCTCACCAGCCAGTGTCCTCGAAGCAGGGGTGAGGTAGTGGCAATATTAGTCCATACTGGAGAAAATGAGCGATGGTCTCAGACCATGTGACTTCAGCCTTGTTAAAAGACGGTGAGAAAAGAACCCGACTGAGAGTAACGAAGGATCACTTTCAAACACTTAATGTCTCTCTCTCGATCTCTCTCTCTCTGTCTCGTTCTTTATAGTGTCGCCCATCCAAAGGCAGGAAGCGAGGATCCTGCTGGTGTGTGGACAAGTATGGGCAGTCCCTGCCAGGCTACAGTGGCATGGAGAGGAGTGACGCCCACTGCTACAACCTGGAGAGCAAGTGAGGGCGAGAGAGGGATGGAGAGAGAGCGAACAAGAGAGAGAGACAGAGCGAGAGATATAGAGAGGGCCCACTCAGCTCTGAGGCGGTCATGCGCACAAAGACTGTACAAACAAAGACTTTGAAGGAGCTGGCTTGGCACTAGGAAGCCCAGCCTGGGTGCGGGCAGCTGTGCAACCTTTGACCTTGCGTGGGGGAGGGGATTACGGCGAGCTTGTGAGGACTGGAGACTGAAGCTGGGCCAAGACAATTCATTCTTACGGCTTTCTATACTGTGCATAGGGAGCATTTGGATTCTTAAATATCTGAAAGAGAGCCTGAGAAACAGAGAAATTATATATATATATATATATATATATATATATATATAAATATATATATATATGTGTGTGTGTGTGTGCGTGCGTGTGTGTGTGTGTATATATCTATATGCAAAGTGCACTATTTTTTAGAGGGCGGGGGCACCCCGTGACAAAGGCACCCCTGCTTGCCTTATTAAGAACTGCATGTGACCAACTCGAATCAGATTTGCTCGGACAACACGGACGCAATCCCGGTGGATGGTTCCCGGTGGATGGATCCCGGTGGATGGATCCCTGTGGATGGATCCCTGTGGATGGATCCCGGTGGATGGATCCCGGTGGATGGACCTCTCCACCCCATCTCCACACGCCTGCATGCTCCGGAAGGCGGGGGGATGGAACAAGAGGGTGTCTGCGTGCAAGGGGGCTGCATGCCCGTGCTATCTAGCTCTGCTCAGGGTTTCTGATGTGAGATGAAGGCTCACCAGACAAGGTAGCCATTCCCACTCACAAGCACACACACCCCCTCCCAGCCCACCCCACCAGTGATGGGATCTCACCCCAAGGGCTCCTAAGCATGCTCATGTCATAAACACAAATATCTGAAATGCCCCCTAAATGTTCGTTTCATGCATATACATGGTCTGGAAGCCACCCACCTCCCATTAGCAGTCGTAGTGCCCCCAGCACTTTCCTGCATCCTGAAGTACCCATGCACCTCCTTACTGCAGGGAAACTTCCCACTGATTTCCTGTCCACTGGGTCAACTGTAAAATTGCGCTTGTCTGCAGGTCTCTATGGTCCTGAGCTGTGTGGGGTATTTGTGACCTTGTGTGTGTGTGTGTGTGTGTGTGTGTGTGTGTGTGTGTGTGTGTGTGTGTGTGTTTCGGTGACTGTGTCAGGGTGTCAGTAAGTGTTTGTGTCTGTGAGTTAGTGAGGGATTGTGCGTGCAATTTTGTGTGTGTGTGTGTGTGGCAGAGTGTGTATCAGTGTGTGATGTGGGACATCTTGTCTGTGGGTGGTCCGGCAGACTGGCTCAGGATTCCATCAAACCCCCCCGCCCATAACTCCCCACTGCAGCCAAATACTCCCAGTCGACCGCCACCCCCCCACATTGCCAGAGGGGCCACCGTGGCATGATGCTAAACGGCTGTCACATATGGACCCGCCCCCCTTTTCCAGGGGCACGGCTTACAGGGCCAACCAAATGACATCAGGCGTGACGTCACTCATGACAGCCAGTGGTGATTCGTGGTCCAGCTCTCTCCCATCACATCCTGTGTAATGACTTGAACGGTGGAGAGTGCCCATCTGGATTGCTATCCCAGTAGCTCAGTAGCATATAATTGGATGTCTGAATATGCTAAAAAATGCTGGTGCTATTACTTTAATGTTTAATTATTTTGACTTGATTTGGGGAGAGGATTATAACGTTTGTCTAGCTGGTGGATATGGCACTCCTTTGTAAGTGTTTATTTTGGCCAGCTGTGTCTGGGTAGACATATATTTCAGTACTTAAACATTTATCTGAGAGTATCTATAAGCTGATCCAAACCATAATTTTTCTTAAGAATGATTAAGTGACTTACAGACTGCACAACAGAGAAAAGCAGCATGTTTTTTGGGGAATATAATCACTAAATGTTTAATTCTTGTTCTTGTCGTTCAGAAACATAACAGAACAAATTTCCGCTCACAGGTACACAGGCACTCCTAGATTTATATGGTGGCTTAACCTGCATTCTTGTTAGCGTTAGCTCTGTCTCTTGTCTTACAAACATTATCACAGGTCTTCTACACTCGCTCCTTGTACTGCAGCAGTGAGTCTAAACAACGATAAAAGTCACTTTTTTTCTGCTGGTCTGGTAAGGATTTCTTCTTTCACGGGTAACTGTGTTTTTAATATCATTTTAAAGAATATTGATTCAAGTTTTCATATTACTAAGCTAGAAATCACAGCTATTATTTTCTTTTGAGAAAGGGAACGATTCTGTTTAAATATAATTTGTATTTAATTTCTTTTTTAAATAAACGAAAAATAAATGCTATTTTAATTTACCAGTGCAACTCTCTTTTTTTGCTCAGAATCCGATGAGAGTTTTATCTGAGGGAGTAATTAAGTGACCTTTTACAGAGTGAACTTGTAACTTTCTACAGCAGAGCGGAGATTTCTGAGTAGAATTTCATGGAAGTCTGTGCTGTTGTACCTTTGACCCTCAACCTGCTTTTGTCTGGGGGAAAAAATATGCCACTGCATAAAACAATAGACCTATATGCCTACTGCAGTGGTCAATAAGGGCACTTTTCCACTGCACCAAGCACCAAGCTTCAATAAAGTACCAAAAGTACTTCAAGGTGTTGGTTTTCCACTGGTGTAAAAACTGGTACCGACGCAGAATGACATTACAACGCGAAGTCAGGTATTTTATATTAAATTCGAATAAGTGTATTATAGGGCTGGACGACAACGTTGCATGTTACTAACATTCTCACATCGCTAGCTAGTTAGATTAAGATCAGGGCCCGGTTTCTCGATAACGGTCACTCATATCGTCTTACGAAGACTTTAAAGATGTACTTTACGAAAGGTATTTGTTTTTCTACGTATGTTTCTCGAACAAGATTGCTCAAGGGAGACCTTCATAAGTGTGACTTTAATAGGTGCTGGAAAACCGGATTTGTTGACATCGATGGCTCAAGAATTGATTATTCAAGCAACTGCTTCACTGCCGCGTGAGAGAAAGTGGTGTTATTTATAAATATAATACTGCAGGAAAGCTTCAAAATGTTGCATTAGTCAGAAATGGGTTGAACCTAAAAATAAAATACAAAATTAACAACTTGAATCATCTAATCGTAAATATGATTTTCGTCGATTGGGTGCACGAACTCGCCCCCCCAGACTGTAGTATCACCATTTTATTCTTATTTGTTGACTTCTATGGACTATTCCAAGGTGCTTTTTGGGGAAAATATATTAGATAAATATGTGAATGAACCTGCAGTGTCGGCTCTTACCAACCTCATGGACCACAATTTTGAAATACTGCGACTTTGGCACATTTACAAAGGTATATGCATTGCAGAGGCGTCGGAAGTTGGGGGAAGCATCCACCCCAATATCGGCAGTACCCCTGCCCCCCATCCTTCACAATTCATAAATAAATATGTGACCAACAGCGTGTTCCTTAGGTTTCATTATGAATCCGCGCGATACTGAGGCCAATTTGTGGCGCATTCAGAGCGCAAGGACGAAACCTAACAAAGATTGTAGTCCAGTATCAGAGAAAATCATTTTATCATATGGATCAGTTATTTGTATGTTATATAAGTGATGTGTGGTTGTGAAACTGCACCCTTAACTATGTTAGTCTTATTTTAAATGAGTAGTATGAGCTGACAACAGAGATTACAGACAGCTAAGAGATGCTCAGACCAACCTTACGAAAAAATGTCTTACGGAAGATATACATAACTATGAATGTCTCGGGAAATACATCGGAGAGTTAAGAGACAACTTAAGGTAGAACTTAGGAACAACACAGCATTAAGAAGGTTTCGAGAAACCAGGCCTAGACTTTTTCTTCCCTTCAATTCTCTACAGACATTATAGCACACGGAGTTTATGCTTCACTAAAACAATTTTTAATACTTAAAACTTAGCAAGTTTTTCAATTTTAATCATTATTCCTTTTCAAGACCTAGTATATATTCAAAAATCAGTTTTCCTCCGCTGCTTTTGCATGAAGGCTGCATGCCTTCTCCGAGACAATCATAAACAGGTTTGTGAAAACATTACACTGAACTCCAATTTTGCTTTATAAATACCTCAATATTTTTTACAATAAAATCACATTGCTATCTTAGAGTAGCTATATTATACAAAATACTCTACTTCATGTCATCCATACCTTATCTTGACCAGGAATGCAGTTCCTGAAACCTTCTTATCGCTGCGTCGTTGACGTCTTTCCTGAAACACGTCAACGACGTGTAATACTACAGTCCAGTGAGTGGTGTAGTATCGGTACTGTACTGTAGTACAGTCCGGGGAGTCGGGTTCACGCACACAATCAATGAAAATTGTTTTTATGGTTAGATGATTCATTCGATTCGTTAAGTTTGTAATTTTATTTTTAAGTTCTCCCCAGTTCTGATTAATGCAATATTTTGAAGCATTCCTGTAGTGTTATATTTACAAAGAACATCACTTCCTCTCATGCGGCAGTCAAGCAGTTGCTGCATGGCGGGAATAATCAATTCTCGAGCCATCGATGTCAACCAATCAGGTGTTCCGATGCATATTAAGGTCGCACTTAAAAGGATCTCCCTTATGCATCCATTAAAAGATTGTTCTGGAAACAGACATAGGAAAATAAATACCTTTCGTAAGATACATCTTTACGATCTTCGTAAGACGATATGAGTCGTCTTTATCGGTAACGCACCCCAGATCGCAATTTTAGCTTCGGTCTCTTCATTTGTCCACGCCTCCTTTATTTATTTGTTTGTTCGTTTTTTCTTTTCCTTTTTTCTGACTTCGCAACTTTTTTCTAGACATCAGGTGTATTGTATTTCAGAGACCTATTTTCGTAATTAATCGACAAAGAAATCCCACCCCAAATGAGGCCTACCTAAGTATCTAAGAAGTACCTCAGCTGGTTTGACACTTTTTGTACTGGAACTTTTGGTACTGGTATTCGATTGGAAGTCAATAGAAAAGGGAAAGTATCAAAAGTACCGTACCCGGTGCGGAGGAAACCGCCATAAGGACAATAAAGGAAGCTAAATCAAATCAAATATCTAACTCTGTTTTGTACTTTACAAGATTTGATTCTGCAGCACAAATTAGTGTAAAAGTAAATGATTACTTAATAGTTCGAGTTTATAACTCTGCTCATTACACTACATGCTTAACGAGAACTTGAAATTCGATGTGTGTGGCAAAAAGCATCGAGCTTTTCTGAAAAAAATATATCAAACAAACACAACACCTTATGAAAGGAACTTGTGAAACTGAGTAAAAAAATCTCCACGAAATGAAAAAGCTGAGATTTATTGGTGCAAACCAGGAAATAGGGTGAGTGTGGATCGCTAAGTATATAGCAGAAGAGGAAGCCAGAATACGGGAGGTCCCAGCTGGGACCTCTGGAGATGGCAGTTACCATCCAAAACAAACAGGAGCCAAAAAGGGCTCCGTCGGCAGACCTTTGTGTGAAGACAGTGGTGCAAATTATGTCCGAACGCTCTCACAAACTCTGGTTCCTGCTTTATCCTCAATAATCTACTTATCTTTTTGCGTTTCCGTAAATGAAGGCAAGACAATACGTTGTTGAGGATAAGTAATTTATTAAATTATGTGTGTGCGTGCGTATGTATATGCTACCTGTATATATACACATTTATATATTCATTTACATAAAACAATACGTCAAAAACTATAAAAGTGTACATACAAGTGATAGAGCAGTTGCTTTACAACAAGATCATAGCAGCTGTCGTCAATCGATCGGTAACGGAGCACACTAACAAAAATACAGCGGGGACAACAGCAGCGTTTACGGCAAAGCGGAAAGCCTCGGTCTTGATCTTGCAGCCACCGAGGTTCAGCGTGATCTGCAACGTGCACGCAACATAAGACGTAAAAACAGACGCATCTTGGGGGTTTGGGGGGTCAACAGAGCACAAGTGACAGAGGTAGGTTCAGTACCCGTTCGCAAGGTAACGAAAATGGCTGATGTCATCGACTCTTTAATGCCACAAGTATATAAAGGTTAAAGCACCTCATATTCACGGGGTGAGCGCATTTGTTCCAACAGAAAGGAGAAAACATGGTCGAAATGGTTAAGAATTACGATTAAGGAATCCCCGGGGAATGAAAATGCCGGTTCGTGAACTACATCAACATTGTCCTGGTTTGTGGGAGAAAGGGACAGTGGGAAAGAGACGGCTGAGGTAAGCCCTGTAATGGAGTTATTTAGAACGCAGATTGACACTATTTTGCTATATACATCGATACAAAAAATAAGGCATAATATTTATATAAATATTCTTAAAATAATTACAAATATTCAATACCAATATGCATACACAGAGTTTAAATAAATAAAGCTATATCGTAAATAAACTTAGATTCTTTTTTTCCCCTCATTTTCCTTGCAGAAAAATAGATATTTTTTTTTTCCTGAAGGGGTGGGGTTGACAACCACAGTTAACAATCGCAGACAGGGTACCTGAATCAAATAATGTACATCAAAATAAATAGGTATCAAAAGACAACACGATGTGCGTGTGCGGGTCAGTGGTCGCGGGTCTCGGCGCTGTCAGTGGGTAAGCTCCTGCTGGCAGTCAGATTCAGCCAGGGGGTCGATGGAGCCCAGGATTCTCTTCCCATTCCAGGAGGACACGCACCAGCACCGGCCTCTTCGGCCTTCCAAAGACGTCTCACACTGTTAGGGGAGGATAAGTAAAATATGTTACTATTCGCATTAATGGCTGTTTAAATGCACCATATTCCCAATTGCCTTTTTATGATTGCCGTATATAGCGTGTGAATGGTGTGGCATCACCGAATCCCTGGATCCTGCGTGAGGTTGTTCCTATCGCAACCGCTTGTCCTGTTTCTCACCCGCCAAGCCTGACGCTGTGTTTTAATCGTCCGCACGGAACACCTCGCTGACTCAGTAAACGCCTGTACGGTCATGCACTAATCATGTACGAGCTTGACATAAGAGTGCAAGAATCTACACACTGAACGGCATCCAGAATTAAAGCAGCGGCTCTGGCCATTGCTTTGGGCTCAGTGCCTGATAAGCAGGTGGCGGCAGGGGTACGTGCAGGTGGGATGCTTTTCCACTGACGGTGTGGAGTCAGCTCGGTCAGGAGGCGACACGCCGCGTACCTGCTTGGCTTTGTAGAAGCCGTGCTTGTCGCAGTTGGGGAGGTAAAATCTGGTGGGCTTGTCCCCTGGGTTCTGCTGGAACTTGGCGATCTTCTCCAAAGCTCTCTGCAGTTCGATGTGGCAAGGGCCCTGCCAAAAAGAGACGCGCGATGAGTTATTGGTTGCTTGATTGTACATGCAGCCAACCCGTCCGCTACGAAAAATTCTGCGCTGCCTGCCCAGACAAAAGTTGGGATTACTTGAATACTGCGTAAACCACAATGCTCGTAGCAAGGGGGTTATCATGGCCTGCCATAGGGAATACGTGCTATAGCCATATCTGCCGCATTATCTTCCACTTTAGATTTGTTCCGTGTGAATGAACGAACATACACAATCTTACTGAGCATCCCAACAGTGATGTGCGGCAATTCGATTTTTTAATGAAATAACGAATCGAAACCAAATCATGCTTGTTGGACTAAGTTGGGTTAATGTGATCGAATGCAGTACGATCGCCGCAACTCCACGTACAATTCATAGCACATTAGTGTCCCCTAGTGGTTGCCGTCGGATTTAAAGCCCAGCCGTTGTAAAGCGCTCGTCCCCTGCAACACATGTTCTTCTAAACGATCTTAGGTTTTACCAAAATAAAAAAAATTAAAATAAAAACTGCAATTTGAATTAAAAATGACTATCGTCACTTTATGGCCAACTTTACTGAAATGACGCGTCTTCGGCAATACGGACACATATGCATGTCCGGTGCTTACCTGCTCTGTCAGTTTCTTTCGAATGACATTGACCTTGGCTTTCATACTCTCCTGGGCGTCCGCAGCAGCTCTTGGATCAAAAGGCTTATTGTGCCCCGGGAGGTACAGGGCTGGTCCATGATCGGGAGCCGCAGCGCTGTTTCTTGCTTCGGTGTCAGTGTCATCCTGATCTGAATGAGACACCCAGAGTAGTCACACGTGAGACATTCATATTAATAATGCAGAGTGCAATCAATAAATACATGAATTCGTTTTAATTATTGTTCAGCGAGCACACACCAATAAAGCCACGAAATACCCAAAGTCGCATGCGTTTTTCATTTTCATTGAATCAACTTTTAATAAGGCACTTCTAAGGACAAAATCAATTTATCGTAATAAACTTAATATCGTAAAAATGATGAAGGTGAGAGATCGGAATAAATGGCATAGAAAGTCAAACTGGAAAAAAATGTGTAGCCTATATGTACCCATGGGCTGGCTTTGCTCAGCTTCGGGTATCTCCGTGCAGACAGCTTGCCCGCGGGTGAGAGAATGAAGGGGTCTTGGGTCCCCGGGTCTCGGTGTGCATCGTAAGCCAGATCCACAATGCGCCGTGTAGATCCCGCAAAAGTCCCCTTTCTTCAGAGCGCAGGCGAAGCAGCATCCGCAGCCCGGTTCCGGGAGCACCTCTTCGCAACCGGGCGCCACCGCCGGGCATTCGAGCACCTTCTCCGGCGTACAAGGAGCGCAACGGATGGGCTCCGGTGCCAGCACAGGCGAGCCCAGCGCTGGGTCCAGAAGGATAGAGGACACTGCCACTACCCAGAATTTCAAAAATAATCCACACATCACAAACGGAGAGTAAAGAAAACAACTAACAAGTATTGCAGTGTCTCGCTACAGTAAGTTGGTCTTGTGGTGGATGACTAACTTCAGACGGCGCTCGGCAGCATTTATACTGAGGCTTGACCTCCAGTGGATGTTAATGTTTGACGCATCGCTGATATTAATGATTTCTTAAAAGAAGGTGTGATGCTCTGTGTCCTCTGATTGGTTTGCGTAGATCCGGACCGGGGCTTAATTGAATTCAACATGGAAAAGACGTCAATATTTACATAGGAACAAACGGTACCGGCACGTCGCTTTCCAAGGAAACAATATCGGTGAGTGACGACAAGAGAAAAAAAAAAGTCGGCTCTTCCCACAAGCGTTAATGAGTTAGCTTCTATAAATGGTATCGTGTGCTGCCTTTGGTAGCCTCTTATTATTTAACCAGGCAATCGTTACGTTAAATAAGCTATTTTTGCAGAAAGTACACTTGCCCCCTAAGTGTGGATGCATATCGGAATTGATCAGATAAACGTTTGAAACTGGATAAAATATGTGTTTAGTGATGCTGGACAGAAGCACTCAATAGACAATCTATGATGGAATAATGAGCACACTGTGTCCCATTCATTGCGGTTTTTTCAGCCATTCACCACACACCCAGAAGCCAATTCATAACGCTGAAATACACGGTATAATTACTATGGTAAGTTAATGGCATTAATCGAATTAAAGCGTCTAGTTTTTGTTTTGCTCTTGAGATCACCTGGCCTTCACACTGCTGTGTGAATAAAGGAGTTGTCATGGATTGCGCTAAATCGTTGCCCAAGCTCTCTTACGTGACCTTTCTCAGGAGAGGGAAGCCAAGCCGGGATTAGTTCTGAAGGAATCCTATTGTAATTACCCATTTCCTGGTGTAGTATTAGTCACTTACACGTTTTTTTCTTAATCTAGAGCAAACACTGGCATGGAGGGAGACACGTCTCCTAGTCGCGCAGCTGTCCGATTCTTCCGCACGGAGCGGTGCGTTTTGTCGTCACCGGTCCGAATACTCGATACAGAAAATATGCCGTGAATGGAGTCCGACATTGACCGACCAGCGACCCAAAGCAGGGAGAGGACCCGGACTTCCCGATATGACGATGATGTGATATGCCAACGATCATTTGAGATTTCCTTCTCTCCACCTTCTCCAGTAATTATAGTGACCATATGGAGCACTGAGACTTGCGTGTATATAGATTTGTCCACTTTAATTTAATATAGGTTAAAATATTAAAACTGTTTATATGAAGAAACATTTCTAAATTGTAGTGGCTTGCCACCCAGTTCGTTTCACATTATATGAAAAGACAGAATAATAAATTTACACTCTGGCCATTATTCAAATCAAGTGTGATTCCGATTATCTTGCTCTGAGAAAAGCGCATCCTTACTTCTACAGTTGCAGAAAATGCCTAATGTCCTTGGAGGCACAAGGCGCGAGGCTAATAACATAGGGTAGTGGCATGCCGGTCTATTGTGAGGCACGCACGCACACACCCGGAGATATTCACACTCCCCAGGTCACCTGAGCTGCACGTCTTTGCACTATGGGAGGAAACCGGAGAGCCTGGAGGAAACCTGCATGAACACAGCGGGGAAAGGCGGGAGGTGGTACAGGGGAGCCCGCCCTCTTCGCATCGGGATCTCCAGTGCTGTAGGTGTGAGGCAAGAATACTTTGGACAGAGTGGCGTACTAACTGCGCTCATTTGGAAGGGCTCTATTTTTGGAAGGGAAGGAAAGATTATAAGGTCAGTTGGTGATTAATGTAGTGGACCTCCTTCCTGACTACTGGCAGTTTCCATCACAGGAAGAAGAACATCACTGTGTCGTTGGAGGACTCCTTAACCTAAATTACCTTAGTAAACATTCCTGTACATGAATGGGCAGCCCCTGTATATGGACGGGCAGCTTGTACAATCCCTGAACATGAATGTGTTCTGTACATGTACAATATATGTATATAAAGTGTAACCTGTACAATTCCTGATTAGCAATGTTTAGTTTCTATACATGAATGGGTACTTTGTATGTGAAATCTTTGCATACAAATAGGTATAACATAAAATCCTAGTTTGCGTATCAAAATCATGTAAAATACAAATATAAATTAGTAGTACGTACATTTTCTGTATTTACATGGGCAGTACGTACTCTGCTTTCATAGTGTGTTCTCAGACTGGGTGTACAATCCCTATATAAAATAGGTAGTGCGTACATTGCCTGCATATAGGAAGCATGTAAAGTGATGTTCAGAGGTGATCCAATATACAGTGGCATTTCGAGAGTGAGGTTTCATGTGACGAGCTTTCTGGTACGGGGGGGGCGGGGGGAATCCTCAATGGCTGGAGATATTACAGCCATTGTGTCACGGCTTCATGCGATATCTTTGGACAATGCAATCCCAGCAATCCACTCTAGGGGCCTGACGTTGATTAATGCGTCGCTGGGGAGAGCAACATGGGAACCTGTTTTCGAAAGAGCATCTGGATTTCGAAAGCATGTCAGGGTACACTGACCCTCTCAGACACTCCCGACTATTTTCATTAGGCGTGGATGTTTTTCGAATCTTTGAGACCGAGCAATGGGTGGTGAGCTATTGCATTATGGATGGAGCAGATGATACCAGAAATTGTTTGCCTGGTCGTCTGTGTTTTTCTGCAGGCCGGTGACTCTGCGTAACCTCTCGTTGGCTTTCAGGCTTGTGCAAGACCAAACAAAAAAACTGACACCAAAGTTCAGTGCCCGCTTTTGAGAAGCATGGGGCCCGTGCGCTGAGCCTTGTGTGTCTGCTTAACCAGGTGGAAGTTTGACCAAACATGACTAATGACATCACATGGGTCTGCTCACCATCAGCCAATCAGCTGCTTGTTCTCAGGATCATCTGACATCCATAGACAAGCAATAAAATACAAAGTATTCAAGACATATCATCATAACTAACTATGAGTTTGTATTATGTTGTAATCCTGCCTGTTGTAGTCAGAACAGCTTGTTGCTATCCTACCAAAATGCTCAATATCAATTGACTCAGTAAAAATTCTAGGTTTCTGAGTTCACTTGGACAAATGTTTCAGGAAAGCAACCGTAATCATAACAATGGCAACAGCACAACATTTCTGAAGGAAGAACATCCATGGAATGCAGATGAATGAGGTCACAGTTTTCCATATGTGGGGGGAAAATACTTGATTAACATCTCCTAGAAGAATTAAAAGCACCCAATGGAGTAATTTATCTTCCAACTGCTTGGAAGGGTTGGGGGGTGGGGGAGAATATCCCAGGCAGCAGAAGGCAGGGGTACATCCCAGATGCCTGACCATCACTGGGTGGACAGTCATACACCACAGACAATTTATAGAGGCGACTAATGCTAATTGCATGTCTTTGAACTGCAGGGAGAAATCAGAGCATCCTGAGGAACCTGGCAAAAGCACAGAGTGGGGGCGGGGTTCGAACCTCCAACCCTGGAAGTGTATGTCCAGTGGGGAACCTTTCAATGGAGTTATAAGTTTAGTATTGCTGGAAAAAATCATGCAGAAGCTATGACTCCAAGCATAGGTGGTTGATGATAGATAGAATAGATGAATAGATAGATAGATAGATAGATAGATAGATAGATAGATAGATAGATAGATAGATAGATAGATGGGATAGATAGATAGATATGCAGCTGTGAGTCTGCTTGGCCATGATCATCTCAAGCTAGGAGGTTTGAAGAATACGCTTTGGCTGGCCCACCTGAGGATCTTTAGAGGCTTGTTCCAGTCTGGTCAAGGACCTTTTTGTACCTTTCCCTCAGTCCTGACCCATTTCCTGGTCCCTGTCTCAGAGAAGCATCCCAGCAGAATGATGCTACCACTTGAATGCTTAAAATGGCATTTAAATTTTATTTAATCAGACTGGAAAGTCTGAGGCCTTATTGATTTTTAGCAAAACTTGAATCAGGTGGTCTAACAGAGTTTCTTCAGCTGAGCTGCTCCATCATGAAAGAAAAAATGCCTTCATTTAAAGATGTACATTATTTAATATCCACATACCCCATCTTGCTCTACTTTAAGATATACACAGCCAAGATTGAAGCTTAGGAGCAGAGCACAGGGTCAGTCATTTATTCAGGCTGCAGAGGCATTTTTGGGGGCCTTGCTCAAGGGCCCAGTGAGGCGACTATTCTACTAAATTTGGGATTTGAACCAGCAACCTTCTGAAGGTTGGCACAGAGACTCAACATGCTGAGTCGCACACCGCCCAACACATCTGACCTACAGAGTACTGCAATAACCTGTTGTCTTTCTAGCTCAATCCCTTATCTGTAAACAGCAACTCTGAAGCTCTGCTAAAGTGGCCAAAGCCCTTCTTGCCCAGTAACCCTATTTAGCCGGATGGCTAAATAGAGTCATAGTGATTCCAAAGTACTTGCATCTGGCAATGATGGAAGTCAATGTGCTCCTGGGAACCACCAACGCATTGCCAAGTTTTAAACCCCATTTTCAGATATATGCATAATCACCATCTAGCCTCAACCACATACAGAGAGTTCCCAGGCCAATCGCTTGGCCTTAATTCTGCCATGGATTGTGAGCTTTGAGGCCTTATATACCCGGCCTTTCTAAATCAGGTCCAATCAAGTGAATGTGCCCCAGGTGGCTACAATCAAGTTCTAGAGCAGTGTTTCCAATCTGGTCTTCAGGGACCCACAGTTGGTCCATGTTTTTGCTCCTTCCAAGCTCCCTACCTGACATGGACTCTCTGTAGGTTCCCAAGGACCGGATTGGGAAACACTGTTCTAGAGACTTCTCAATGCATGCTTATGAGTTCAATTTGCAGTGAAACATCTGAGTAGTTATACAAATGGGAGATTTAGCTTTTTTATTTTTGAACAAATTTGCAAAAATACTTATAAACATGTTTTCATTTTATGAGTTATTGTTTGTTGATTGAATTCAGTCCACTGTGGAAAAAAAGTCCACAACACAACAAAGCGTAGAAAAGGTGGAGAGATTTAAGTAGTTTCTGAAAAACAGATGTTAATAAATGTTAAATGACACGTTGACTGAATTAATGCTGTTTGCTGTCTGTTATTGTTTGGGTATAACACATTTTTCAAAAGGAAATGAACTTCAGAGGCAATGTTGGGAAGAGATATATTTGTTTCATGAGGCATTATGGGATATGTCAGAGAAAGAGGGGTTGTTTCTGGGCAAGGATGTGACGCTGAGTATGTCCCCGTTGTGTTGAGGAAGGGGGGGGGGGTTTTCCCTCCATTCTGAGTGCTGGAATAGTTCCGTTTTGTGGAAAGCAGAAGAACATTGCCCCCCACCCCCACTATCCAGCTGAAAAGGGCAGTGGGGGGGTATCCTGTAGTACGGACGTCCAGTGTCCCAGTTCCTCCAGCTTCCGTCAGAGGGGGCTGCCGGGATGAGGGGGAGCTGCACATGGACCCCCGCAGTGCTGCACCTTCATTTCCCGCCCCGTGAACAGCTCTGCCGTGTCACACACCATAAAAGCCATACAGCCATCCTGCTGCAATGTGAGAATGGCAGGGAAGCGCAGGCCGCATGACATTGCGAGCCCGACTTCCTCCACGTCGCTTCCTCCCCACCACACCACTCGCTTGCTCGCATCCCTCCCCCTCCACTCAGCGTCCGTGTCGCTAAAATTAGCATTAGCAGACTTGGGGTGTGCGTGTATGTGTGCTGGGAATCTACTCCAGTGGGCAGAATGTGAATGGTGGCTTGTGTCAGTAGAGTACAGAGCTGCTAGATGTTAGCTGCCACATTTACAGATGGCCAGAAATCCTCCGCATGTTTTCTGAGATAGGCCTCTGTGAGCATCCCTCAGTCACCCGCACTTCTTCAGGTCTCAAATTTATTCTTTTCAAATATGATCAATTTCAGAAACAATGCATTTTTAAGCCAGAAAGCCTGTTTATTTTGGTATCCACCCTGATGATTCATTACTTTAGGGCCCCGAGTTTTTTTTGATCCACACGGTGTTATGAGGTTGACACAATTGTTTACATCATAGTGCTTTCAAAAAGAGATCTATGAGCATCTTTACCCATAATTCTTAACAGAAGGTTATGGACTCTAACTCATAACAGCAATTCAGGTTTTAAACCATAAACCTTTGAAAAGAAAAACTCCCTGCGCTTGAGGCAGCAATGTGTAAATACATACACATAATATGACAAATCAACCATATTTGTTAGTATGTTTAGGATATAGTGTCAAATAAAGAAAAACAAAAACTAAGCTAAAAATAATCAACTACAGTCAAGTTCACCACGAATGTCACCTGTGAGTGTTGTAGAATAAGCAAAACTAAACCTAATCTAAAATAAAATAAACTCTATAAGTGTCTTTTGTTTGTAGTGACCTCCATCTTGGTAAGACAAACAATTCATAGCCTCTCTTATCTCTGTTGAAATGGAATGAAGCGCTTTCCCGAACTGGACAGGACTCAGCTGCCCACAAGGATGATTACCATGCTGCAGAAATTCTGACGAGATGGTATGGTTTCATGGTTTTTTACCATATAATATAACATTACAGGACATTCCATTGTAAAAGCTGCCTCCCCAGGCTTGGCTTGTACTACTTCTCTGAGGGCTAAGGAGGAGTCTGGTCTTGCCTAGCAAACTCTAAATTAGCGTCTCGTCTGTTTCTGTGGTGCACCTTAATGAGCTTTACGTCAAACAGCACGACGGTCAGGCACTGCGGCATCTCCGTTGGTTAAACCAAATCTCGGTGCTTCAAACCACCATCCGACTTGGAAACGGAGACTTAAAGGTTTGATGATGCCTTTCTGGTTTATCCAGTGCAAGATTATGGCGCCAGGGTGTAGGGATCTGTCCCAAGTGTGTTCCTTATTTATCGTAAAATTTGTTATTTAGCTCGAACACGTACTCTGCCCCTGGATTCAATACGTTAAGTATGCCGGTTATTCCTGCACTCCAAGGAGTGGCAATTTCAGGAATCGACAGATTCCCACACGTGAAAAGAGGGTAAACACGCATACCCCCACCTTTATGACGCCACAGAGATACCAGATATCTGCTAACTCATGGTGCAGATCATTCATTTACCCGGGAAGGGTGCTGAGGTTGGCCTTATTGTTTTTGATCCACCCTCAGTGACACAGAGGCTATGGGTTCACGAACGATACATTTGATGTTTGCCACAAGTTCTTTAATCTTTTTTACAGCTTTTATCTTGGTGATTTAAAAAGGAAAACTATCATCAGATCTCTGCAAAAAATATTTTGGATTGTTCTCATAGGGGGGTCACTTGCAACAAAATCTTTTTTTTTGTTAATAACATATACTTAATTGGTTAACTTACTTAATTGCTTGAATAATTTATAACAAAGGTGGATATTTTGTTAACACCTAAATCAGAAATTCAGTATTTGATCCACCGTGCTACATGTCATCCACCTTGAATGTGAAATGTAGCTGCTGGTTCATAGGATTTCATGTGCTCTGGTCACAGATGTTTTGTGTCTTTTTTTCAGTTCCAGGATGAATGGGAAAAAAAAGAAAATTTTCACATATGTTCCACTGATTAGCTGCACAGCCCCGAGAATGTATACAAAATGTACCTTGGCACAGGTCAGGAATGCATGTTTTCAAAACACTGGCTTCCACCGGAAGGATCTGGAACGCCGGCATGTTTGCCCGCTGTTTGCCGGCGTTTGTTTGCTCTGTTTGTTTGGCCTTATTGCACAGGCTCAATCCTGGATCTGTTTGAAGATTAGCTTTCAGCAAAAAGGAGTCTAGTCCCTCCCAATGATATGAGGTTATCAGGATGTTGTGTGTAATGATTTTTTGCCATGTATTATTTTACAGTACGAGTACTCTGCGAAAGACCCTTATGAAAATTATTTTAGCGTCAGTTTTTAGCAAATCATGACTTTGTTTAGCTATTCCTTATCAGTCTGATAAACATCCCATGGATGCAGTGTGAGGCATAGGGTGACATCAGCATGGTCCTTCATTTGGCGGTGTTCCTCAGGGTACCATCCTAGGCCCCATGAGAATTCTCTATATATATGCACAATAAAATTAATTAAAAGCTTAACATTTAAATTACTGTAGGTCCAGCTAAGCAATTTCCAGTGGTGCCAGAAAGTTGTGAAGATTAGGTTGTGTGACCCTTGATTGCAACATGAATGTTTTGATTAAGAAGTTTTAGTAATGTTCATTTCATTAACGACTGTACTGATACCAGTCTTTTAGTCATGGATAATCTAATTAATACTACTTTCATTAAGGGTGTTGCCCCTTGATGGCGAATGTCTGCAACATGCCTTTCAAATGACTCTTTAAAATAAAAAGAACCATGTTTCCATTTTTTACTCATTGAGTCTACGTTACCTTATTGCATTTTATACTTTGTGTCTTTGACATGTAGTTAAATTTCACAGTGACATGAAAATAACAGGAGTAAGTTAAAAGATGTTTTAAAATATCTTAATCCTCACTGTTTTTCTTGTAATTTTGATAAAGTTCTATATATGCTGCTTGGAACTACACATACACTAAACTTTACGAAGAACATTTGTAAACATTGTCTTGTTTCCCACTGTATACAACACTGGGACAAACAGTAAGATCTATGAGCAGACAAGAATTTACCTTTATTTTTCAACAATACTCCATTTGATTTAGGGGTGCAAGCACATAGTATAAAAGTTTCCATAAGAAATATTACATTCACATTTAACATTTCAATCAAAGGTAACAAAAAATAGGACACGAATACAGCTCCTCGGGTTAATTAACAATTTTGTAAAAGACTGGAAGATACTCTACAAGATCAGAGATACTTACAAAAGTGGACCCGTATCATATATGAAAATATGTAATTCGTTCTTAGTAGATAAAAGTGAAAAGTGTACAAGGTTGTCGGTGATTGTGGACTAAGATAATCGCTTAGAGTTGTTGAATAGGCCACGGTAGTAAATGTTTATAAAACGATGGTCCTTCAGTGGGTATTGGATCTGGCTCCTGGAAACGCAGCCAAGAGGAAGTTACAACAGAGTCCATATTGTGTTTGTGCACAAAGAGTCCTACACGAGAAGCAGGAAGTGCTTGAATCTCAATGACAGGAAATCAAATCAATTTAGATAGGGGCTTTAACGTGATTCATCGAGGGACTGGGCTCAGGATTTCATAACTTGCTGGCTTTATGCTCAGCCGCCTCCCCGTGGGCCTCCTGGAATCAGTGCTAACGTTGCAGATGTTTTGGGGGGTTTTTTTTATGTTTTTTGTGTTACTTTTTTGTGTTACTTTCAAACCCCTGCAAAGTTAGGCTGAAGATGGTAGGCTATAGGAACCGTAATAAAAGGCCGCTGTCCAGCTGGCTTGACAGGAAGTGCTGCACCAGGGCGTTTTTATACTTTCAAGCAATACATCTGAGAAGAGCCAGACCATCTAGGTATCATCATCATTGTGATCTAACAAATCATTGGCGTGTCCCACAATCAACCCAAAACCGGGGGGGGGGGGGGGATTCACACAAAGGGGAAGACAAGAGGACCCAGAAATCAGCATCCTTCACATATAAACGCAGGCACAAATCACAGGGGCTGCACACAGACCGTAAGGTAATTCTACCCACCCAAAATTCGGGCCGTGAAACCAGAACACTTCTGAGACATTCCGAACGGGCACATCCACAGGCTCCATATCCCTGCTGCGGTTCTCCGTAATAAAAAGGAGCAGCAGCGTGACCTGGTTAATTACGTTTGGTCAAAATATCCCCAGAATAAATGAACTGGTTAATGTTGCCATATTTTAACTGCTGCAATGAACGGAGAACATAAAGCCAATAAAATAGGACATTAACTTTAAAAATTCCTCTTCTATTTGCAAAGGGGTTGGAGGGGGGTCATCATTTTGCAGATTGGTTAATGGATTATTACTGGTGATAATTTATTGCTATGGCTGTTATCAAAAAGAATGGAGTTTCTCTTATAATGTGATCTTATTTGACTTCCGGTTACACTGTATATTGATGACTACAATATTAACATGGTCACACAGTAGATGTCAGACACATGCAATATTAAAGTAAATGCAGTTTTTGTTGACATGACTTTGCTCTTTACTCTCACAGAGACCCCTTGTGCAAGAATCACTGGCGTTAAATAAACCTGAACAACACGCACATTGGCGTCTGGTTCAAGGACGTCGCCAGTGGTCCTCCTGCGCTCACCGAGGTGTTCACGCGGTCAACGTCAAGTTAGCTGATAGCATGCAGCATGGAGGACAACACACCATACCCATGGTGGTCTATTCCATGCATGGGCCCTCAAAAACCAGCCTGGGCCCTCGAATACCGGACGCTAGGAAGGCTGCCGGGGATTCAACACTCTTCTGCCCAAACGAATGGACCAACGGGACGTACCGTTCCAGAAATATTACTCATGAGCTACGGAAATCCTGTTTGTGCCGTTTAATTACCGTTGAGGGCCGCCTGAAAAACCCCCGTACGCATACCTATGTAAAAATAGAAAGCCTCACTAGACGACTGTAATTATTCAATCTTACAGGGCAGTATCACAGTACACCAAACTTGGCCCCAAAGCAGGAACAATTAACCTTGGCATATTACTGGAGATGGACCAAAGGAAGGCCTCCACATTCTTCGGACGTTTCAATATGCGCAATGCATTTTTTTTTTAAACCAAAGACACCAGAAATAAAGACTATTTACTTTGAGAAGCAGGGCCAGGAACTGCCAGAGCCAAGCATTTTGGATAACTCAAAATTACTCTGTCAGACCAAGATGTCCATCAGAAGGAAGTCTGGGGGCTTTCAGGTTGGAACGTGTGCTGTGGCAGCCTCCTCTTCCTCTATGAGAGATATCGCCTTGTCCAGATGATTTGTCTCTGTGAGGCAGGAAGACGTTCATGTCGCCCTAGCTTGAGTCTGCGTAAAGTGAATCCCTTGGTGTTGAAACTGTCACTCCATAGAAGCAGTTTGATATTTCATGCACTGTTGGGTCCCATAAAGGACCCAGAAGTGTTTTACAAAGGGGACGCCCAACACCCCAGTTACAACCAGACCTGTCACAGGTCCAGCCCAGAAGTAGTTGCAACCTGTTTGCCCTCCTTTTGTCCCAAATGGCTGTTTTCACAGCAATGGTTCAGTGTTATCTTTGGTTGGACCACAGGGATTCTTGGTTATACTTTTGCCTAAGACCATGTGGTGAGCATCTGGGGGGAGAGCAGAATTGTCCACTAATCCAGTGGTGGTTAGGTGGGGTTGGGTGGGGGGGGGGGACAGGGAGGCAGTGGAGCAGTAGTCTTGGCACGTTCTGGCTCCTCATGGCTCAACCGTGGTGGAATACGCAGACCTTGGCTGCAGGCAGGGGGTGGTGGGGGTGGCTCCGATGGAGAGGAAGCTGGCCCCCAGCTTAGTGCGGACGTTGGCTCGGCTGGGAGGATGTGCCCTGCGCTCCAGGCCTTTGGGGGGGCGCTGGGAGCCAGGGCTCTGGGACTTCCCCTCCAGGAAGTACGTCAGCATGTCTCCTTTGCCCTTCACGCTCACCGTGCCCCGACACACGAGCACATAGCTGCCCCTCAGCAGGCGGTACACGTCCTCCGTGACCTGGGACGCGAGGAGAGACACGCACACGTGCGAGCGGGGGGGAAGATGCGGCCGCTATGTGACGGCTGGCCGCTCTGGGGGTGCACGGCCTCAGCAAGGCTCCCCACGCGTCCATCCGGTACACAAGGGTGCCAGTTACATTGAGGACAAGCGACGTGCTAAAAATGGGCAGTGAACTGAAGGAGCCCTGAGATCTGGGCTGTGAGGTCTTAGCATCCTACTGTACATCAGAAGGAACTCACTCGCAGCCTGACACCCAGAATTCTGCTGGCCTAATCAGCAGGAGACGTAAGGACAGGGCCTCCACTATAATGAATCACTCTGCTCCCTCCTTTTTTAAGGAGCGTAGCTAGAAATGCGGGGCCTCTTGACAAAATGTAATCTTAGGCCCCACCACTCAATTTTATGTATAATTCAAGGGCCCCTGTAAAGTGATGGGCCCCCTGAAACTGCCAGGGTATCCATACCCCCACCACACCCCTGTCTATCACCTTACGCGTTGACCCCCCCCAGAACCCTGCCTACCTGTATCTTCCCTTGAACGCCGGTGCTGTCCATGCGGCTGGCCACATTCACTGTGTTTCCCCAGATGTCATACTGGGGTCTCCTGGCCCCAATGACCCCGGCCACCACTGGGCCCACGTTGATACCTGGGGAGGCAGCCAAATCAACATGGTTTTGTACCCTGTAACCATAAGGCTAGGATACTTCCCAAATCAAACCTAAATCAAATAAAAACAAAACTTTGAATATTAATGCCCCCCTCCCAAAAAAATCTACATACTGTAAACCATGGCCCCAGTGTGCTTCATATGTTTCTCAGCCCCAATCTCGGCAGTGGGGGGGGTGGCAGTGATTTCCCTGAAGGCCGGATCAGCGCGATAACCAGAGGAATGTGGCGATTGGAGCGCAAAGCCCCGCGGGTCGCCAGCCTGCCAGGACCGGGCGCTGAGAACTGGAGCTGCAAGCCGCTCACATCGGCAGATACGGACGCGGCGAGGGGAAGTGGGCCGGACCGCCCCCGCGACAGGACGCCATTGTCTGACGCGGCTTAACGTTGCAGCTAAAGGCTCCCCTTCACTGCCGCTGTGGACAGGATGTCCAGCACAATGGGATAATTGCAGCGGGCGCCGCGCCGCGCGGCGCCCCCAATGGACGGCGGCCAGCCAACCTACCCACTCGCAGCACAAACTCGTTGTACGACTGGTAGTTGATGCTGTCTAGCACGTCGAACATCTCTATGGCGAAGTCGGCCACCGTGCCCAGATGCGAAGTCACGCTGTTCTTGCCCTGTGTTCCAAAACCGTGGAAAGGGTCACAGCGTCAGAGACGAGCACACCTGCAGACACACACCTGTATTTTTTAACCTCCCCCCCACCACCTTTGAACATGTGGTCGGCACTAAGCCCACGGCCGCCATGTATGTGCTGCCAATGGTTTTGATCTTCTCGATGTCCTTGTAGCATTCCTTGTCCATGAGCTGTAATTTTTTTTAAAATCACAGCATCATTTCAGCACATCTGCAGCAGATCCTTACCCTAACACATGCCAGTCAGTATTATTCGAAAAACACAATTGTGAAATCACGAGATAACGGCTTTGAAAACCACGATAGGCGGGCCATTCTGACCTGTCAATCGCTACCTGCTTTGACATTCAATAGGCTACTTCATTGACAGTCACTTGGTTAAACCCGACAGCGATTGACAGAGTGATTAGCCCCACCTACTGAATTCTTTGAAGCTCTGTTCCTACCACCACCACAGACATCACCCCCTTTGTCGACCCGTGTGACAGAAAGCGGACGAACCTCGTCAAAATCGGCGATGATCTCATTGAGGAGTCGCAGGCATTCCACCCCCATGTTGTTGCCATCCAGCTCGATGTAGAAGTCATTAAAGTTGGGGATGGAAGCAAAGAGAACACCAACTTGGGAGTAGGACTGGTAGTACAGGTCCTGAAAGAACATGCATCCATCAGGTATTATTCATAGGACATTAACTTACCCAAAAGGGTGAGAAAATCGCAAGCACAGAACAGAGAATGTTGCTCGTCGAGAAATGAACCCATGCAGGAGTGTCACTAGAGATCTAGGTATATCATATTGGGCCCCCAACCCAAAACCAAATCCAAGTACATTGCATTTTTTTTTGGTTCTCAGTCACTGAGCAGCCCTAACTCAGGAATCGTCCTAACTTCCTCCCATTTTTGGTGTCCCTGTCCCTGTGTGCCAACAGCACAGAGGAATCACCAGAGGTACATGTAGTTGGACCCTTAAAAGGAAATTTTGCATGAGTAAGACTGAGATGACTTCACACGACCAAAAACATACACAAACCAGCCCGATCAGGTAATACCATCAGTCACACGGGATGTCCCTTACACCCCTCTGTCCTGGGATACAGAACGCTAAAATATCACTGAGACATACGTTTCACCAGGGCCAGAGCCCGATATAGGCAAACTAGACTGTGTACTAGGGCACTACTTTCTCTCTCTCTCTCTCTCTCTCTCTCTATCCATCCATCAACCTCTGGGGTTGCGGGTCTGATTTCCCCCCTTCACCTCTTACATTCTACACTGTGCATTGACGCTATAACACGCTCTGCGTGAAGAAAAAGTGAACAAAAGCGCAACAGGAGACGGATTCAGTCGGCTCTGTCTCCCGCTCTGTGCCCGACTTCCTGTCCGATGTCATTTTCGGCCATTAAAGCGGAGCCCTCTAACGAGTTCAGGTGCGTCTGCTGTGAAGCCGCGTGTGAAACGGGCAGCTTCCACCCACTGTTCTGTCATCGCTCTCTTGTTTTTTCCTGATTGCCCCCCAAGCTGAACAAACACTCTTCCTCCCTGGCCGATACTGGATGTCCAATCCCTTTGCTTCCTGAGAAGCGTGCCGGGAAGCACCGGCTGACGGTGGCACGGGATGTGCAGTGCCCGGGGGGCAATTGTGGCCCGAGGAAAAGCCGGGAGGGTGGCAGGACGTGGCATGGCTATCTCGACATTATAGTGCTGGGTGGGAGGGGAGGGACAGGATGGACCGAAAGGATAAACACCCCCTGGTGGCAGCTGGGCTCACCATGTTCCTGGGGTTGGACATCAGGAAGTGCTGTGCGACGTGTGCAGGCAGGAGGTTGAAGAGGATTCTCTTATTGTCTAGTTTCACCCTCTCCATGTCGTCCCTCTCTTCCTCAGCCTGAAGACAAAACAGACACATACAGCTATGGCCACTGGTACCATCAGCAACACAAAAGCTGAAAGCACACCACTGAAAGCACATCTAAATCAAACCGTCAGCTAATTCCATGTATTAAGATTGCGCTATATATTTTGACCACCAGGGGTCAGTAAATAAAAAAGTTTGCTGCAGGAACTTGACGAGATAAAAAGAAACAAATGTTCTTCCAGTAATGTCAGAGTTTACATTGGAAATACTTGGAAGTGTGTGAAGCCAACGCTGCAATCAAGTTATAAAAACTCCCAATATTCATACCTTCCTCTATCATAACACAGAAATTCCTGAGAGACCATAAGCCCTCTCTTAGTCAAATCTGACTACCGACACTAGGGGAGCAAAAACATATGCTCGTGTTTTTATTTCCACAGTTTTTCATTTATTTCATAGGGGAGCTGCAGCCAAACACAGTGAACTGGCTACATTTCTGGCCCACTGTGAGAAAGTGCAGTTAAACCATTCTGTGAGGTCGTAGTAACCTGGCTGCAGACACAGTGACCAGAACGGCAGGGCCCTGGGGAGCTGTAAAGAGTGTAGGATACAGGAATAGAGTGACATGCCACCGGGAGATAAGCGCCTGACCTATATACACTCCTAGCAGCACACGTAGCTGGAGTGGGTTAGCATACTGTACAGCAGACTTCAAGTGTTCCGCCCAAGGGGATCTCTGGCATGGCATCAATCATTCAGAAATTCAGTTTCAGTGTCACTGCTGAAATGCAGCTCTTTCAAAACAGCAGGTATGACACACACACACACACATGCTCAAACAGACACACACACATACGTATTCATATCTTTGTGGGGACTCTCCATTAATTTCTATGGGCAAAACCCAAATCCCAACAATGAAAACCCTAACTCCCACCCAGCCCTGACCTTAACCTTAAGTAACTAAATAAAATACAAGTCTTTTGGTATTTTGATTGCTGTCACAGATTTTTCTAAAACTGCGTTACTCCTTCTGGGGGCTGAAAATAACAGGTTTTCATCACATTTGGTCTCCAGAACACACACACACACACACACACACACACACGTTATCCATTTACATATGACACATGTGCATACACACACACACACACGTTATCCATTTACATATGACACATGTGCATGCACACACATATTCTTTCAGATGGTAACCCCCCCCCCCCCCCCGGTCGCGTAGTTGTCCCCACGTGAGGGGGTCCTACCCTGTAATAAGGATGGCCCCCCTGGTGGGGGGGGGGGGGGGGGGGTGGGGGGTGGTACACTAGCACAGTCTGTATACTCAGCACACACCTGAGTTTCTCATGTTTTCCCGGGGGAGGAGGATTTACGGCACCTGAAGGCTTGTCTGCCGCTCCCATCCATGTGGGGGGGGGACAAACACAGGCCCTTGGCAATAACACCGATGAACAAGGCCTCCCACTTCACTCTAAAAATAGCCCTGGCTCAGTCTCAGCGGGGTGGCCGGCCCGCACTAATCTGTCACAGCGCCCCCCCCAGACTCACGTCGCCGCTCTGCGCTCCACGTGCAGCCTCCCGCATCCTCAGCCCCTCCCTGTCTGCCCACACACGTGCAACGCACCCGACTCACACATGTACTAAAGCGAGAGCAACGGCAGGGATGCCCGTGTCTGTGAGCGCATAAGTCACCCGCTGACGTGTGTGTGCATGTGTGGCTGAGACTTCCAGCTTGGGGGGGGGGGGGGCTTCTTTTCATGGATACCCCACTTAATTGCTGCCCCTGACTCAACAGGTCAGACACCAGATGATATTAGGCACCTGTTACCCTATTATTGGCATAAATTAGTCTATTATTGGCAATTTAAATATACATAAATATACAGCTGGTTAATTCTATTAAAGCCACTGATTAAGGAATTATACTGAAGGGTACAATAGCAATTCCCCACAGACACTTCAATAACCAGCTTTTTGAAGCATTGCTATGTCTTTAACCACTATGCTATCTGCTGCTTCTTTTTCTAACTGTTATGGGTACTCAGGGATTTTAAGGGGCAGTGCTTAGTCAACCTCTGCAGGGCACTACGAACAGTACAAGCACAGAGCTCTACGTGCCACATTAGCTTAGTGCTAACAAACACTCAGTGTATGCTAATCCTGCAGTAACACATGCTAACCCATGCTAGAGTGTGCTAATCCTGCCCTAAGTAACCTAAGCTAACGTACACTAACTCTTGCTAGTGTATTCTAATCCTGCACAAACACACGCTAACCCACACTAACACATGCTAGCATATGATAATCCACTTTTACCCATGCTAACACATGCGAACCCACAATAGCATATGCTAACTCATGCTAATGCAGACAAACCAATGCAGACAGCCCACCTGCGTGGCCCAGAGGTAGTCCAGCCGCAACTTCAAGTCCAGCTGTCTGGAGTGGAGGGCCAGGGTGCTAGTGAAGAGCAGGATGGTCAGGATGGGCTCACAGGCCCAGGCATGGAACACCCCAGCACTGCGCAAAACCGGGAGGGAAATGGACACGTACAAAAAGTGATTAGCAAATGCAAGAGAATATATTCTGAAGACTGCTAAACATGCAATAGAACATATGAAGAGCACAGATGCTGCCACTTAAATTTGGGTACATGATGTCCGTCACAAAAATACACTGAGATACATGAAGTGATATTTTGACATTCTGAAAGTTTTCTTCCTGCAAGGTCCAAGCTCACCCACAACCCCCAGGATAAAAGGCTGGAAGAGGAATGGATGGATGTTTTGGAAGGATGGTTGCTATTTCCGTTATTTACTCTCACCCCATGGGCCCGTCTAAGCCGCCGACCTCAAGGACAGTGACGTACAAGCCGGCAACAAGCAAGAGCAGCGCCATCTTGGGCACCGAGGAGACGCGGAGGAAGAGGGCCAAAGTGAGCGTGCCGGTGACACAGCACAGCAAGGCATAGGGCACACTGTCAAATGGTGGCTGCTCCAGCACACTGCGGTTCAGGAGGACCTCAGAGGTGTTGGAGTTCAGGTCCCGTGGCCGCGGCAGGCAGCCCACCTGGAGACATAAGGCAAGGGTGGGTGGGGTCATCACACTCACCTCCCTGTAGCAAGGCCACCAGGCTCATGTGACGGTCAGGGAAGGAGTCATACCACGCAAGCTTGGGCCACTGCGTAGATCAGGAGCACGATGAGGATGCATAGGACTGTCCGTATTCTGATGGTCAGGCAGCCCGGGAAGCACTGTGTGACCGGGGAGGGGCATGGATGGAGGGAGAGAGGGAGAAGGAGGGAGAGTGGGAAAGGAGAAGAGAGAAGGAGAGAGGGAGAGAGAGGGAGGGAGTGGGAGAGAGGGGGGAGAGGAGGAGAGATGAGGAGAGGAGGAAAGAGAGGGAATGAGTCGGAGGGAGATTGAGGAAGGAAGAGAGGCAGAGGACAGAGAATGGTGGACAGGGGTGAAGAAAGACAGAGAGAGGGAGATGGAGGGAGGAGGAGAGGGAAAGAGGAGGAATGAGGGGGAGGGGTATAGAGAGGTAAGGAGAAGGAGGGAGAGAGGGAGAGGTGGAAAGAGAATGAAGGAGTGGGAGGGAGACAGGAGCAAGAGAGGGTGAGGAGAGAGAGAAAAATGTGGATAGAGAGAGGGAGATGGAGAGAGAGGAAAAAACAGAGAGAGGGAAACAGGAGAAAGAGGGAATAAAGACAGGGAGAGAGAGACAGGAAAAGAACATGGGGAGAAGAAAGGAGAAACAGAGCGGGAAGACAGATAAAAGAAAGATGAAAGAGAGATGGCAGAATCACTGATAGTAATAATACACAGCAGTGATTAATATTTAATTAATAAAGGCAGAATAAAAGGACCCCCCCCCTTATGAGAGCTCGGCACAGCCAGCTGAGGGCTCCATCCTGCCACGCTGACACTGTACGCACTGCATTGGGGCATACAGAGGGTGTGGCTTTCATTCTGGGGGGCCCCCACCGACCATGGCTGTACCCGGTCTGGGCTGGTGGGAACCAAACACTGTAGAAGTCCCAGGTGCTGATCCACCACTGAACTGGAAGCTTTTCCCAGTACCCGCTGACTGGTCATGCGTTGATCCTTGTGACTGACATGAGGTTCTGTAATGCCTCACTTTATCGACTGTGCTTTGGGGAGGGTCTATCCAGCATTGAGGGTGGGGTTTCCATGAGGGGCCTCGTCTGCAATCCCCAAAGCTCAGGATGGGGAAAAAACATACGGGAAGCGAAGATGAGGAGTATCAGTCCAGACAAGCCAAAGACCCAAAGGTTCCCACAACATCCGCACTGCATGATTCTCATTTTCCGTCACTCCTATTGTCAAAAGCAGTAACTGCTGTCATCTATGAATTTTACTTTTTCACTTTAGCCACAGCAAGGCTGCGTCCTCCTCACACGGTGCCACATAGGATAACATTTTTGTGAAAAACTGATTGCAGGAATAATGCTTTCCTTAGCAGGCTAAGTAAGGTCATGGCTGAGTAAGGTTAGGGTGTTCAGAAAGAATGACCAATCAAAATCAAAACCCCTGTCTGACACACATACACACACGCGTGAGATTAAATGCCATCAGTCACAGGCATGTTTGGTTATCATCATTTCTCCTGGATGATTATGCAAATTTGTTTTGAAGTAGTATTGTTCATTAGGGAAGTCTAAGGCATGGATAGATAATCTGGTTTCCGAGAGAAAAAAAAGGGGATGTTTCAGTAACTATGGCGACGCCCGGCGTGTTACCTGGACACTGGTGACGTGCAGGTACATGATGCAGGCCACGTGGAAACAGATGCAGAAGGCCAGCAGGACCAGCACAACTGTGCCTCTGAGAAGGAATCACGGGGGGGGCGTTAATAGCTACCCAGAGGAATGGGGGGGGGTGGCTGGTATTCAGGGGAGGGGGAGGCAGCGGCACTACGTACGGTGGGATTATCAGCAGGTAGACGAGGCCGATGGAGGCGGCGAGGACCAAAGAGAGGGTCACAGCGCCCGTGAAGTGATCGTCAAGGATCTGGTGATACTGAGGAGTGAGAGAGAGGCTCAGGTGGGGAGGGGTTGGGTCATGTGATTCAAGTGGCATGATAAGAAATGGAGGTCAGCTGCACTGTCCAGACACACACACACACAGACAGACACACGCACATACACACACACACGTGCACGCACACAGGCACACGCACACAGGCACACACACACATGCACACACATGTGCACGCACACACACACACGTGCATGCACACACACACAGGCACACACACACGTGCATGCACAAACACACACACACACAGGCACACATACACGTGCACGCACAAACACACACACACACAGGCACACACACACACGCACA